TCGATGAGAAGAAAATTCCTATACCGTTTTTTCTAACCCATCTAGAGACTTCCCCGATTTTATTGAAAAGATTCAACTCGTAAAAATCTATAAAATGAGAAAGATCTCGCTATTTGGCGCAGAATGTCTGCTGATGTAATGGTGGCGGGTTTCATATGGATTAATCCATTAATCAATCAATTTATTTTCTAGGTTAAAACGCAAAAAGAAATATTGTGCACAGCATTACACCAATCTCGGTGTTTATTTGTTATTTTTGGTAATTAATATCTCTTTTCTACATTTAGATTTGATGCATCAAAACAAATTGCTAATCCAGATGTATTACGTCATTTTGATCAAATATCAAAAGATTTAATATCAAAAGAATTTAATGGAAAACCATTTTATACAATAGCCGAATATATACCGGCAACAAGTGAAATAACAAGACCAAATGGTCCATTAGATAGTGTTTGGCGTAATATATTTTTTACGTTAGAAGAACAATTTAAAAAACCAGATGAATTTAAAATTGATAAATTAAAACGATTGATTAATCCAAAAGATGCAGAAATGTATGAAACTAGTGAACGTTGTGTAATTTATTATGCATCACATGATCAAGAACGTATAATGAGAATATTTGGTAATATGAAATATTCAGACGATGAAGCATCTAAACGATATAAATTTTCTATGATTATTTTATTAACGGCAATTGGTGTACCAATGTATTATATGGGTGATGAATTTGGCCAATCAAACGAACAAGGTAAGTGACTAAGATGAAGAAGAAATGTTAAAAGAGTTAATAAAAAGATTTGTTTATTTGTTATTTTTTTATTTTGTCGAAAGTGATTGTTCCAGGTTTTGCATTCATTCATGCAATCAATGAGTGATTGAAACGAAATTTTTTTTTTAAAAAGTATGTTTCATTAAACGTGAGATGAGTTATGTATTCGACATTTCGATTTTAGTTGAAAAAAGTGTTTAAAACGAACATAGCTAAAATTTTGAATATTTTTCTTTTTGGCAAAAATGAGAAGAAAACGAAATTCTCTATGGTAAATCCCACTCTTCAAATTTTATTACCTTTTAGATATCTTACAGTGGAAAGTAAAATATAAAAATCAATCTAACTATTTTCGTTTATCAGCACAGACGTTCCTTCACGGCTTATTTTACCCTAGGTGGATACAGATGACCCGCACAACAGAATGCTTGTCTCACAGTGAGCATCTCTCCACAGAACAGGTGATGTTAATGCTAAGACGGGTGAGAATGCCGCGATAGTTTACTGTTAGAACAGCCACTACGGATGAGGTAAGACAGATGCGATGCCTACTGGAGGCAGGTTGTTTTTTCATTCTGTCGTTGTCATAGCATCTAGCTGTTAGTATATGGGTGTAGGCGCGCACCAATACAATATTATTGTATACCCAATATTTTGGAATCAGTAATATTGGTCACCCCAACGTATTGGGTTTTCACAATATTATTGGTTATTGGGTTTGCTTGAGTTTAGCCTATGTTTATAGTACAGACGCATGCTCTATATTCCGTCTTGAAACTAAGTATAACCCAGTTAGGCAAGCACCGATAAATAATCGATGTTAGGGCATCCAGCAAAGTCGTTCCGAATCAGTTACAAAACAACACTTATGAGGGAACCTCCTGAGATGCTAAAATCTTTCTGAATGGCTATTTTTAAAATGTAGGCCTTCATGGGCTATGAAGAACCCCC